AATCGCTATTGACTTGATTACATAGAAGTCCTCAGAATCTAAACATGAAATAATTTTCCTTTAAAGGGTATAAACTGGATTTTAGAAGGAAATGTACTTCTCAGTAGGAGAAGGCTAATCTTTGATATCCACCCTGAGGTGGAATAAATTATAGGGAGTTGAGATAGGAGCCAGGATAAGGAAATCAGACAGTTTCTGAATCCCATCTATGATTTCAGTATTCTATTTGAAATGAATTCCCTGGTTATCAGTCATATATACCTACATTTCAAGTTAATTTTAAAGCAGAACTCCAAAGCGCAATTAAAAAAAAGTCTTGCTTATCTCTATTTCTGTTTTGTCTTTAGTTTTAATAATTCATTTACTATTGAAATCACTGTTTGTGGGTGGGAGGGAGGGGAAAAGGGGGACTCACTGCTTAGGGGGCACTGAGCTTAGGTAACAGAAAAATTTGGAAACAGATAATGGTAATGGTTGAACAACATGATAAACATAATTAATGTCATTCAGTTGTACAGGTGAAAAATGTTGAAAAGGCAGATGATTTGTTACATATATATTTACCACAATAAAACAAAATCACTGTTCAATTCTAAATGTGTATTTTAACTTGTTCTGGTTTATATCTCATGAAACTATGTTACTGTTGAATTATTACTTTACAGCTCTGATATTAAAATACCCATAGTTGTAATAGTGTTTTTTTAAATCTCTTTCATTTCAGGGATGGAGAAAGACATCGTAGTCATAAAAGAAGAAAGCAAAAAATATGAAAAATGACGTAGTTGTGCATGTATTAATTATGCTATGCTGTGATAACCAGTGTGCTGAAGTTTTCATTGTAATTGCCTTGAGTAGGGGATGTGTTTAGTGCTCAGATCACTATTTTTCAATAAACACTTATGCCTTAAACCGTGAGTACACTATTATGCCCTAGAACTTTGTTTTCCTTATGTTAATAGATGATATGCTTCCTGTTACTGATTGTTTCATTCTTTTTGGTAATTTATGTATCATAAGATTTCTTTAAAAATAACATGAGTAACGTTTCTTATTGTAAAGCATTAAACCTTCCAGATAAAGTTATGGCACCCTTGGAACACCATCTGTAGTCCACAGGCCCACCCCCATGGCTGCTACCATTTACCACTACGTTGGTGAACTATAGTAGGGAAAAACAACCTAAAGATCTACCAGAAGGGGAATGGTCTGGCTGAATAAAATGTGGTATAGTCATAGAACAGATTACTATATTGGAATTAAAAGGAATAAGCTAGATCAGTGTTAACATGAAGGGTTAAGGGCTCAGCTGCTAACTGAAAAGTTGGCAGTTTGAACCCAGCAGCTGCTCCACAGGAGATAGATGTGGCAGTCTGCTTCCATAAAGATTACAGCCTTGGAAACTCTATTGGGCGGTTCTGCTCTGTCCTGTAGAGTCTCTATGAGTTGGAATTGACTAGATGGTAATGGACAGATCTCAGAAACCAAGTGAAAATACCAAGCTTCAGAAAGATCCATATTTATATCTGTGTAAAAAATATTAGTATACATTTTTTATGATTATATATGTATGTAAATATATTTTCAAGGTCCAGAAGAATCTGCCCAAAAGTCATAACAGTGTTATTTGAGGGGTGGAATTTAGGTAGGAGAGATCAGGGATGGAGACCAGGATTGAGGTGGTGATCAGAGAGAACTTTAGCTTTATCCATAATACATTAATTTTTTAAAATAAGATGTCCGTGTTTCATTTGTTAATTAAAAATGTACTGTCTTTTGTTTTTAAAAAATCAACTTTGTTGGGTATTGTTTAGATGCAGTAAAATGCACCCATTTTAAGAGTACATTTCAGTGAGTTTGAAACATTTATACTCGAATGTAACCTTCACCACAATCAAGATACAGAACATTTTCATCACTCCCAAAAGTTCCCTTATATCCCTTTCTGCAATCAGTCTCTCTACCCCCAACCCCAGGCAACCACAGATCTTTTCTTTTTTTTTTTTTAATATTTTTGGTGGCAATATATACATCATCCAGACACATATCTGTAGATCTACTTTTTGTCACTGTTGATTAGATTTATCTTTTCTAGAATTCATGTAAATGGAATAATGCAATGTGTGCTCTGCCTTTCCACTCAGCCTGTTTTCGAGACTTGTCCATGTTGTTGTATGTGTCAGTAGTTCATTCCTTTGTGTTCATGAGTTGTATATTCTGTTGTATAACAGATAATTCAGATGAAACTTTGGCATGAAATACTAAGCACCTCATGTCCAAATGACAATATCATAGTCCTAAATCTTGGAAACCCAGGCTAAAGATTCCACTGTGGGTTCCAAATAGAAATGAAACCTGAATTATTTGTGGCAGAAAGGTTGATTGGATTTGGATCACATTGAGTGAGTGTTAGGGTTCAGGTATGGGAAGGAGCTCTGAGATTTATAAGTTGAAAATCAGCAGGTCACCTGCTAAGATGTAGTCCTACTGCTGCCATAAAACATAATTTCTAAATCATAAAAGCAAGGACTTTGGAGTTACTATAATGTTGAGGTTAAGAGCTTGGCTGCTTACCAAAAGGTGGGCAGTTCAAATACACCAGCCGCTCCTTGGAAACCCTGTGGGGCAGTTCTACTCTGTTGTGTAGGGTTGCTATGAGAGTCGATGGTAACAGGTTAACAGGTTTATAATGTTGAACTATATGAAATTGCTGGTTTTATAGGTCAAAACCACTAGAATTATTGGCAGTTTCATGTCTTATACCTTAATTTGTAATTTTGTGTTTAATCATGATTTCACTAACGAAGAAAAACTAAAGAGCACAATTAAATGGTATACTTAGGTTTGTAGTAGAAGAGAAAAATAAGAGGAAAGGAAATTATCTGAAATGTAAGCAGAATTCTTTAAAGTCCAAATTTTAAGTATGGCATCAACTACTGTAAACTAATAAAATGTAAAATTAGGTGTGAAGAGTCATTTGTGTGATTCTTGAAAGTATTAATCTTCTATACTTAGCTGGGTTTCAAACTCCACTGGATTACAAGCTACTTGAGAATAGAATTTATATCTTCTTCAATGTAATGTAATAATTATTAATTTGTTATTTTAAATTTTGACAAAAGAATTTACAAACCCCAGTCATCTAACATCTACTTTTGATTTATGAAGTGCTGCTGGTAATTAGTATTAACTGCTATTTGTCCTACCCATCCATTTAGGCCTAGCTCAAATGACTCCTCACCAATGTTCCTGATCTGTTAGTTGCTGTTGAGTCGATTCTGACTGTGTTACAGAGTAAACTGCTCCATAGAGTTTTCTTGGCTATATTCTACTGGCTGTAAATAATTTTCTCTCCTGAACCAACAATACTAATAACAGCTAACATTTATCGAGCACTTTGTGTTAAACTTTGTTCAAAGCTCTTTATATTAAACTTATTTCTCTCATGACCCTAAGAGGTATAAGCATTACTATCCCTATTTTAGAGATGAAGAACTAAGGCTCAAAGTGTTAAATAACTTGCCCCAATTATAAAAGAAAATGATGCCGCTTGACTTCAAACCCAGGCAGTTCTGCTTTGGGGTCCACACACACATTTTTTTTTTTAACCTTGTATTTCAGTTACTTACTACTACTGTCCCCAACTAGGTTTTAAAATTTCTTTAAGATATATGATTATCTTTGAATCCCCATCATTCCTTGAAATGTTTATGGATAGGGAAATTTAGGCATAGAGAAGCTGTTAGCTCCCCATCATACAAATAATTCAACCAGAATGGGAACTGGAGTTCCTGCTCTTAACCACTGTATAAACGTTTATTATCCATGGATTTGCATCATGAGGTTTCTGCCATTTCATGGCAGTCTCTTCCTATGTACCAGAGTTCCCTGATCCCCAGAAAATTGGAGCATTTTACTACCTGCTACTTGTTAAAATAGATCAAACTGATCCACAAATGAACTCACATTGTATCTTGATACCATTTAGTCATACACCAAAGGTGACTTCTTCGATCATCTTTACATAGCAATAGTTCAGATGAAGACACCAAAGCCCAGATCTCGCAACACCTTTTAAAATTAAGACTACTTAACAAATGCCAGAGTCTTGGAGGATTCTAAACCAACATAAGGGAGTTGGAATCAGACTGGAGAAAAACTGGAACCTGCTTTATCCTCTGTGTTTTATCCTTCCCCATCCCATCTCACCTCCTTTTCATCTTTAGAAGGAAGAAGGGGTAAGTATGAGGTTTCCATCTGCCATAGGAAAATGACGCTTCAGTAGGGGAGGCATTTGTGAGCAGAAAAATTAAGGAAGTGTCTCAAATATTTAGACTTTTGGTGACTTTAATTTAGATACTGGCAGTGTTTTCAATAATTATCTGAACTCT